CGGCGCCGCAGCCCACTTGGAAACGTCGAAGAGGAGGGCAACTGAAGACTTGTCTCGACACTGTCCGTCAAGACATGGAAGCAGTTCTTAGATCTTGAATCTTCGGTCTCCGTCGCTGGAGAATAGACTAGGTGGAGCTCTCTAGATCTGCTGCCATCAATCCTCACGCATGGAGAGGTACTGTTCGTGACATCATTGAGGCCGGCTAGATCAGGCATGATCACAGCTGTAACAAGTACAAGTAATCCACTGAACAGATCAAAATAGCAATAAAGATATATGCTAGACTACTGACTCGTATTCTGATCACGAAATTGCATGAGTTGTGTCGTCTACAAACAGTAGTTTGATCGTCGATTTCGATCAAGTCCACCGTGTGCCCCACAGTGGGGTGGAGCAGAGAAAGTACATTGGGCGGAAGTATAGTGAGAATAGACTTTCGAGCCATCTGCCTCACTCTCTGTTCCACTCCCTCCCCCCCCCATCTGTGTCCGGTCTCAAGGATACCGGAGATGGGGGATAGCGCAGGTTGCTAGCGTGGCGTGAGTCTGCACCTAAGCGTGCCACTACACTTCGCCCGCCCCATGTTCGGCATGCGTTATTGGAACACTACCCGGATAACGCTTGCCCTTCCCTGATTTGGCCCCCCTGTTGGTCCAGCACATCTACCACGCGGTCCATTTAGGGGGAGGGGCGGGTGTATGTCGTCTGCTGTGCTACATATTATGGGTTTGTTTGCGCATTACTTGCACGTGTTTTCCTCTTACTTCCTATTCGTTATAACCTATTCGCGTCTTTATGTATACATTCCCCTCATATAGCACCTTGGTTTTTCTTCCACCTGTTCTCTAGTTCCTGGGTTCAGTTGGCCAATCGTGTTCAGTCTCGCTTTACCTTGCTATTGATTCCACTGGAGGACTTTGTTGAGCCCAACTCGCTGGTTGGCAGCACAGACATCACCTGGCAGCCCCTAATCCAGCTGTATGAGGAGGAGGATGCCCAGTACTGGATCGAGGTTCGTCCCCAGCTCTCACGACAGCTGTGTTGGAAGCCAGGCCTTCATTTTTTCACCTTTTTCGTTTAGCAGCGGTATTACTCGATTTCCATACTGAGCAAAGTTGGTCGGTGTAACTGTACTTGCAGGCAAGGGGTGCTGCATACTTGTATCGCACGATCGCCACTCAGACTTGAAGCTCTTTTGTCGTAAACCCCTTCGGGAAGTGAGGCGAGCGTTCCGCTGGCTAATTATGTGATCCTCGGCATCTTCCATTCTCTTTCTCTATCTATCTATCTGTTGGCATTCTAGCTTCTTCAGTTTGCGTTCTTACTGAGAATAAGCGTTCGTGATGGGATGACATTATCTTCTTCAACCGCCCTCACGCATCGATGAATGCATGAACAAGCAGGGACCGCCAGCATGAAGGCTGTCTCGGTCGAACATCTCAATGAAATCTGATTTCAGCACAAAGCCATTTTCAAACTCCATAATGTCCTTGCTATGTTCGACGCGATCGGCTAAGGTTCCCCCCTAGAACGGTTCACAAGTCATGGTTAAAACCCGTAAAAATGCAACTAATGGTGAACGTAGGGAGCACTTTACCTTCAAAACT